GGCCTGTTTTCACTGGGCCTGTCTGTCAGTCGGTCGGCTTTCGCACAACCTTGGCCTGTTTTCACTGGGCCGTCAAGTCTGATCGGCTTTCGCACGACCAAGGGCCTGTTTTCACTGGGCCTGTCAGTCAGTCGGTCGGCTTTCGCACAACCTTGGCCTGTTTTCACTGGGCCGTCAAGTCTGATCGGCTTTCGCACGACCAAGGGCCTGTTTTCACTGGGCCTGTCTGTCAGTCGGTCGGCTTTCGCACAACCTTGGCCTGTTTTCACTGGGCCGTCAAGTCTGATCGGCTTTCGCACGACCAAGGGCCTGTTTTCACTGGGCCTGTCAGTCAGTCGGTCGGCTTTCGCACAACCTTGGCCTGTTTTCACTGGGCCGTCAAGTCTGATCGGCTTTCGCACGACCAAGGGCCTGTTTTCACTGGGCCTGTCTGTCAGTCGGTCGGCTTTCGCACAACCACGGCCTGTTTTCACTGGGCCGTCGAGTCTGATCGGCTTTCGCACGACCAACACAAGACAACAAGAGTCAGAACAACACTGGAAACAAATTGTGTGACTCTAGTACGCGTGCGAAACTATGCCAATGAGCATAGAGTCTCGTACTAAATCCACTTTTGAGAACTTAAGGCGTTTCTGAAACTATGCCAATGAGCATAGAATCACGCGTTAAGTCTCTTAGGGACCAGAAGAGGCACTGATTATTCGAAGCTGCCTCACTAGTCAACCCAGAGCGGACTCTCTTTAAGTCTTTTCACACCCTTCCTTATCAAAACAAAATTAGATTTTGTTTCGGGTGTTTTAAAACATAAAAATCTACAAGGCATGTCCAATTAATCAGAAAAAGTATTAATTAAATTTTAAAATAATTTATAATAATTTATGACGTCATCTAAATTGCAAAACAAAAAAATACGTTGTCACCTATCGAGTAAATTAACTTGCACCATGCCCCCTATCGAGTGAATAAATTTCGCGTTGAAAATTTTGCAGTATTTTTAGTCAGCATTATTTCATAATTCTGACAATATGTATATACATATTGTATTCTATTAGCGTTAATCAGAATACAGCGGGGATGTATATGCAGGTGCACATATGTATGTGTAACATGTTCATGCACTCGGTTGTGCCCTGAGACGTATGGCCACGCCCTATAAATGTGTGTATCGGTGCGTGGCCACACGTGTTTGTGTCTATTTATATAAGTGTGCAAGTGAGCGCATGTTTATGTGTGCTTTGTATGATTAATATCATACAAGACTGTGACTAGAGTCGCTGTTAGATATGATATGATTAAGTTGTTATTAAATAGGTTAACTGGTGACCGTTACAAGAAAAATTGTTTTTAGTTTCCAGATCATTTCATTTCATTGATTCTGTTCTCTTTGATTTGATGAAATAAACATGTTAAATGTTAAGATGATAATGATGGTGGTGATGATAATGACGGTGGTGATTAAGATGATGATAATAAGCAAGACCATGATAATGAAGTTTTTGGTGATGATGGCCAATAATAAAAATAATTTATTACACTGAAACGAATGATTATGATATTATGTTAATTTAATAATGTTATTATGTCATTATGTTAATTTATGCAACCTGGTTCGTCCGTGATGATCCTTTGGACGATAGCCATGTGGGACCCGCCTGAAAAAGTGAAGAAACGAATGATTTAATAAATGAATGAATGACTGAAGATTGAAATGAATGAACGAACGGATGAATGAACTAATAAGTAAGCCAAACGCATTAATTAATAGTCCATACCAATCCATTCAACCATTCACACATCCATCCATCCATTCACCCATCCATTCATCCCCCCCCCTCCGCCAACAACTGACCTTTTTTAAAATCCTGCAGGATGACGTCAAGTTTGACGTCATCGAAAACGAAGTGCACGGGGTGGTTGTAGAACTTGGTGACGGTGTTCAAGGGGATTTGATCGTCGGGGTCGACGAATGCAAGATCTTTGGTGTTCAACAGGGCCACTATGTTCGATCGGTCCTGAGGTGGTGGTGATGGTGATGATAATGAATTTGCTTGTTGACGTTGTTGTTGTTGATTGTAATTGTAATAATAATGATGATGATGATATTGATGATGATGATGAAAATTATCCTTAACGCAACTATCGCCAGGAAAATGAGTATTCAATCATAATCAGCACCAAACAAACATCACCACTACACCCCTAACCATTACCCTACCCTCACCCTCAATTTAATCTACCCCTTCATCTCCCTTACATTTTCATACACGGGTATCCGAGTGTAGCCACTTTCCATAATTTTCGTCATGGTGTCGAAATCGAGGACGCCATTGTACTCGATCATGAAGACGTTCTCGATTTTGGTCATGATGTCAGCCACCGTCTTCTTCGACATCTCCAGGGCTCCTGTGATTATGTTGAACTCGTCCGACTGCAGGCCTATGTCCTGGGTTCCATGGTGGTGGTGGGGGGGGTGGTAGAGGTTGGTGGTGTTGGGGCCATGTGGTGGTTATGATAACGATTAAGGCGAAAAATACGCCGATTTTATGATGAAGATTATTATGCTCATGATTAAGTGATTATCAAGGGAGAGTAATGTGCGACTGAAAAGAAATGAGATTGTAATGGCTATGGTGATTATTATGATGATGATGATTATGATGATGATGACGATGATGACACAATATCCACATTCTATCACAACACACACTCGCCCACACACACACACACTTACCCACACACACACACACACACAAACACACACACACTCACACACAAATACACACGCAAGCACACTCACATACAGAGGCCGTACAGAAACGATCCACCAAACACCCACAAGAAAACCGCACAAACCACATCGATCCCCCCACAACACCAAACACAAACGACACACCACACTTTGCAGCGTCATACACTCACTACAAAAACTCCACACATCTTACAAAACGACGCATTCAATATCACTCCACACCCACACCACCCGACGCGAACTTTTTCAGTAAGTTTCAGCAGCTCCCTCAACCGATCCCTGTTGTAAACGTAGTTGATTTCCTCGCCGAGGATGCAGTCGAGCACGAGGCTGATGGGCAGGGAGAGGGGGAAGGTGGCCAGCATGAAGAACTTCGTGAACCAGATTGTCTTCGCCCCCACGGCTAGGCCGTACCTAAATGTGCGTGTGAGTGGGCAGTGGTGCAGGTGATTAACATTACTGCTGTTATTATTATTGTTATTCTAACAGAAGGTGCCCAAACGTTGATTGACCTGAACAATGCGTGCTGCAAGTGGAATGGCATGTAAATGAATGGCAGACGTGCGTAAAGTTATTTTTGATGCACTGCTACGGCTTTTGACCGACACCGCGTTAATTTTAAAGAAGAAAAGTTCAAAAGTACAATTGTCGATTTCCACTCGGCCGTTGAGCTCCAAGAAGTTCACAAAGCTCTACTGCGGAAACTTAAAGTGCTGAAAAATTAAAAAGTGAAACTCCCTCCAAAGGAAACTCCAGGTTTTAAATAGCCAACGACTTGCTAAAAACGTTGAATATTATTTTGCCAGAAAAATAAGAAAATTCAATGCCACTATTTGTAGTTTTCAATTTGTAGCTTACCTACCCTTTCAATTTGTAGCCTATCATATTGACAGCTGTCAATATAATTCAGTAAATCTAATAAGTTTTCAAAAATTGAAAACATGATTACTAATAACATCAACATATGCAAAAACTATATAACCAACAACTCTTTTAAAAATAAAAATATTAAACAAAATAACAAACGTGGCCATGCTGTGAATTCTAATTTCACTCGTGCCTAGCCTAAAATGCAATTTGACGTGGACTCGATATCTCAATGGGGTGCTGAAAATCATCCAGTTCTAAAGACATCGAAGGTGATTCTAACAAAAACTGTGATAATGATAATAATTGCAACTTGACAGTGACAAAAATGTTAAAGATGGCAACAGCTTAAATAGTTCTCAATCTGATGACAGCGATAGTGAATTTATACCTGTTGTCAACAAAAAAAACTTAATTTGTTCACAAAAGCAGCAAATTATATTACCATTAGAAAATGTTCAGGCAAATCTAAATTAGAGCTGGACTTTAAAGCAATTGATCCTTCAATAAAAAAATCTGTAATCTACTTGGGTAATCTCAATTTCTGTAAAACAGATGTTGTTGCTGATCATCTAAAAAAATCTGGCATCAACTACATTTGATTATTAGAAACAACAACAGCCATACCAACGACATTCTTCAAAGTGCGAACGTAGTCTACTAGTTCACATGCCCTCCGCCACACAGTGTTGTGGATACTTATATTGGTCACACTCGAACGACTCTCTCAAGAAGACTCACAATGCATCTACAGAATGGCGCAATTAAAGACCACGTGTCGACTGAACATAGCCAACTTCTTACGCTCGATACACTGGTGGCTGGTACTAAGGTCATTGCGTATGAACCCCATCCAATCAGGCTAAAAATAAAAGAAGCTCTGTAAATACACAAAAACAAGCCAACCCTCAACAAACAAATCATCAGCTTAGACCACACTCTCCAGCTGTTTTCTCGATATCACAACGTCTCCCCACTGCGAACGAATGTGAACCGTTCCGGTGGCGGCACAACACAACAACACAACTACCTGCTGAGATTTGATCAAACTGGTTTACATCAGGCTAGTGGGGTGACGCGTAGACCACCGTCTACCGTCGTGACTTCGTTGGTCACATTGTTTGATTCCGATGGTTAGCTTTACTTTGGGCTCACATATGTATGCAGATATCATAATTGACAATTGTTATGCATACGTACATATGTATATTCACGCTATATCTAATGAATTAATGCATTCCTGGCAACAATATAACATGATATAGACGCAATATTCGCTTTATCAAACAACTCCTTTCTGTACACACTCCTTTATTCGGTTTCAGTAATTCTTATAACTTGTTGGCATTTAAATTTCACTTTGCTACAATTCACTTGTTTTAACTATATTTCAACATACTCAATAATTTAATGTATTTTATCATATTCAAATTTCATATTTACTAGGCAATCAATCTTGTTTGTTTAATTGTTTAATTCCTAATTTACGTTTTCCATGTTTCACAGAATTGTAAATCGTTTTACATAATATTTAATACGATTTTAATTTCAATTTTTTCAATATTAATTCTTCCTTCATTGATTTTAATACTTCTAAATTATTCACAGTTTGATCACTCAATGCATTGATGATGATATTAACACATTTTCAGCATTACTAGCGTGTAGAAAAGTTTCGGTGTCACACACAGCTGAAAATATTTCAAACACAATTGAAGCCATATTAAATGAGTCGGGTATAACAAAAAAGTTATGTGCCATGTCATCGTGACTGACGATGGGGCTAATATTGTGAAAGCAGTGATTGATTTACAAATAATTAATGTAAGATGTTTTACCCCCACTCTTCAGTTATGCTTTCACGAATAAATTTTAGAAAACAAAAAAATCACTCAGTTACTTGCAATAACCAGAAAAGAAAATCAAAAGAAAAGCTTAAGGAATTTAAAAAAAAGAAACTTCCAAGATGTATCAACAAGATGGAACTGTAGCTAATAAAAGCTGCAAAGAGTTGTTGGAGTTTGTTTAACTGATGCCAATGTCAGCATTATAAAATTGACCGATGAGAATTGGTTTTAAGAACCAGCCGAAGAGCTGAAAAAACTATTGTGCAACGAGAATATCAGTCCATCATTTATCATTCCAACAAAAAAACACCTCTTTCCCTTTATTTAAGTGATAAAAACGACAAAAATAAAAAGGAGAAAAATAAAATGAAATCAGAAATAGAAAAAAATATGGAGACTTGGAAAAAATTACATCACTAGATTTCAACTTTTCTGGATCTTAGATTTGAAACAAAACAAGTTTTTTCATTTTCATGAAAAATAAAAAAATTAGGAGAAAGCGCTGGTGACGATCTTCAAAAAATAGAAGCAAACTCATCCTATTCAAATGCTGCAGAAAGTAGCATATGGAGTTGTTTAACGGAATCGACAAGCAAATCACAAGCTCCACTCTCAGTAACTGAACAAGAGACTGAATTTTAACATTTTAACAATATTTAAAATTAATTCATATAAATCCTGTCTATATATATATAAAATTGTTAATAAGATTATTTTTACTTCTGACAATCACTTACAACAAACTCTTACATTTTCCAAAAACAACATTTCGTCTAGGCATAATAACAAACTATTAATTAACACTTTATTAATTAAAGATAAATTTGTAGGAAGAAATTTCTGTTTTTATGGTCCGCTCCATTGGAATAAACTGCCTTACTATATTAAATCTAATGTAATTTATAATTCTTTCAAAAAACAATTGAAAACATATTTTTTATGCTGTTCATAACATAAATTGTTTTATTTTATTTCATAATTATAATATTGACTCAATTTCTCTTTTTTTTTGTTATCCCTAATTTTTAATTTCATTTCAATTATTCTAGATATATATGTATTGCTTAATTTTTCAGTTGATATTTTTTATTCTTGGTTATGTGTAAATCCTGTTGAATTAGTTGAGATTTATTCTGTTCATGAGGCCATCCATAAATTAATATTTTATTGCTAGGATGAACCTTTTTACTTTTGTAAATAAAACTGTTCAAAACAAAAAAAACAATAAAGAACTATTAGGTAGAAAGGAATCGCCTACTGCTTGGTGGAGAACCCATCTTGCTCCATCATAAGCATCAGTAGAAAGTAGAGGTCTACATGAAAAATTTCCCGCAAATTTTCCCGCAAATACCCGCGGGAAAACTGCGGGTTGGGAACAGAAGTTGGAGGGAAACTCGCGGGGCGGGAATGAAAAGCGAGGGAAAACCGCGGAGCCAAATATTTTTCGTGCGGAAGTACCGCGGGACGAGAAAAATTTTAGAGGGAAAACCGCAGTTGACTTCACTTTGATGGCGAAGTTCCAAAAATGTTGAAAAATATTGAGAAACTTCATAGCTTGAACAGCAACGCAATTGAAAAAGTTAGATTATTATTACTAAGTTTAAAGCTAAGCTCACAGATGCATTGCATCACGCTAAATAATATTCATTGTGATAACACGAAAGGACACGTGACCAATTATATTAAGTATGCAGCTTGAATACAGAATCTGTCTTTATCAGCTGTTTACACAGATAAATACGTGATCAGCGAGTTCTATTTTCATTTTGTTTTTTTTTTTCGACGACGACCTCGTGTTAGCAGTTTGGTAAATATGGACAAATCGGCAGTCAACAAATTAATGTCTTCCGAAAGTCAGCGAATAACGTATTTGGTAAATCAGAATACGCACAGTAAGGCGTAAGAGAATTTTGTCATGGTGTATGTAGACCAAACGTTTTGTGGTTACCTGAAAAGTGATGCTCTTCTGGCATGGAAAAAGCGAGATGGTACTAGTGTCTTAATAAATCATACCAAAGCATGCCTCAAAACAACCGAAGGTAATTTTTTTAGTAACTTTTAGTCATAAATAAGATGTAATGTCTTAATAATTTTTAGTAATTTATTTAATGATAATTAAAATGCATCACATTACCATTACACATGTGTAATAAGTAATACAATTAGTATAGTAAATAAAAATGGTAAGCATGTGCTTAGAAGTTATTTTTTAATGCAGTTGCCCAGAACCGAAAACTAACGGAAATGGGATTTGGCTTGCCAAGCTCTAACTCTGTCCCGGCTTCAATTAAATCTAAAATGGCTGATGAATTGGCAACTATGTGTGCAGTAAATATCCGACCATTTACAACAGTTGAAATTCAAGGATTTAGATCTGTTGCAAGAAAATTGCTTTCAATAGGAGCAAAAAATGGAAATGTTTCATTAGATGATGTTTTGCCAGTTGCAAACACAGTTTCGAGACATAGTGAGATGCAGTACGACATGAAAAAAAAAGCTACTGAACACTCTCACAAGTGTGAAGTCATTTGGAGTGACAACTGATTTAAAACCGAAGTGTATCATTTTTGGGCGTCACTATGCACTATATTGAAAACTGGGTTTTAAAATCCTGCACTATCGCAACACGCGAAATGGATTATTCTCACACGGGTGTGAACATTAAAGCCATGGTAAAAGCAGTGTTGGGGAGTAACAAAT